TTCCTTATTATTATGTAAAAATCATGAATTTCATAGATACTTTTAATTTTTTTTATAATTGATAATATTAAAAAAAATTATAAAACTTACAAAACTTACCCTATTAAAAAAAACACCACATTCTACATCGATTATACCATAGAATGTGTCATATTATACATATACAACCGATATAAAAATGAAATGACCTCCCAATAGTGAGAATGCAAGTAAATCAACTTTAATATGCACCTAAAACTCTTTAACAAATGTAAAATTCATATATATAAAAATGAAATGACCTCCCAATAGTGAGAATGCAAGTAAATCAACTTTAATATGCACCTAAAACTCTTTAACAAATGTAAAATTCATATCATTTTGTATATTTCAAACTTCGTGAGCTCCCACACTGCCACACAGTCGATATAATTTCCTCCTTTGTGAAGGATTTAATTAGTTCCTTATCAGAAAGACTACTTATCGGATTTCATTTTGTATATTCCAACACTGATCCGGCCCACTCCTTTATTTCAAATTGTTCTTGAAAGTGACATTTGAGTTCTGTTATCAAAGGTTCTACTCCTTCAACTTGAGTACCATTAGTTCTTAATTAATACATAATTTCTATTTCCCTCCTCGGGCCACACAATTTTGGAAGAATTTGAAATTGGAATCCCCCTCAGCACTCAACCATCTAAACCTGGATTTCTGGCATAATACACATTTCATTTCTTATATATTTAAGTAGAAAAAATCAAGTCTATGCCTAATTGGAAAATAGTTTTATGATTATTTGATATATAACATTTTTTAACTCTTTTTCCTAATATGTAATTATTTATTTAAGTCATAATATTAAAGTTAGAAATATATAGTAAATGAAGAGGAATCTATTCACTTCAAGAGTAAATTTGAATATACTTACTCCACTAAATAACTCATGTTTTACATTAAATTTCAACAACTTAATTATTAAATTATTTTTTTAAAAATTAATATATCAAGTCTACTTAAAAATGTAAAAACTATTTGATATTTTGTTTCATTAATTTAAATTAATAGATAATCATAAAAATATTTTATACATTGATTTGGATCTATATAACAAAATATTATATGATTTTTATTTTTTTAAAATTTATAAAGTTGATTTATGCATTAAGAACTTTTAATTTAATGGTTAAAATATTAAAATTTCATATAGAACATGAATTATTGAGTGAAGTAAGTCTACCAAAACTTAATCTTAAGGGACTTTTGGTAAAGGAGAAAATTTTAGTTCCATGTAAATCTTAGATTGAGAATATTAGTTTCTCATGTATGGTATCTATTTAAAAAAAAAAAAAAAGATTCATAGGAAATATTATTTTTCAGTAGGAATTATTTTTATCCTACTTTTCCATAAAAATATTTTTCATGTAAAGGTTGGAAATCCAATTTTCTCGACTAGGAGGGAAAGTTTTGATTATATAAAAGACCACAATATTATTTTTTAAAATAGAAAATATGTAATTGAGTTTTAACTTTCCAATGTATTTCTCTCATCTCCTCTCTCACTCTTACTCTCCCTCCCCCTCTCTATTGCTCTCTCTCTCTCTCTCTCTCTCTCTCTCCCTCTCTCTTCCCTCTCTCCCTCCTATATCTCTATTTCTATCTCTTTCTTGTATTTCATTATTTATTGGTTTTGTCAATTTAAATATTATTAAAGTTTTTTCCCTATAATTTAATAGTATTTGTTATCATTTTAATTTTTTTTAATGAATTGAAATAAGATATTTTTTATTCTTCTTAATTACACGATAACATTTCTCTTTGATCATTTCTTTTGTTAAGTTTTGTATTTAAATAATTTTAGATATAGTTTTTCAACTTTTAAAAATAGCTTAATTTTTATCAAATACAAATATTATTAAATAAAAAACTTTGTTTATATATGTAATTACTTTTTTTTATTATCTTCAAAAAGTAATTAGATCATAAAAAAAGTTTAATGTCACATACACACACACACACACAAACACACACACACAAACACACACACACACACAGAGACACAGACAGACACAGATAGAGACACAGACAGAGGCACAGACACAGACAGAGACACAAAGACAGAGACAGAGACACAGACAGACACAGACACAGACATAGACACAGACACAAACACACACACAGACAGACACACATAGACACACAGACACAGAGACACACACACACACACACACACACACACACATATATATATATACATATCAAAAAGCATAACCTCTAAACATATGCAATCTACATACAAAATATATATAAATATCTAAATAACCATACTCACCGATCAAGCGACTATACAAGACCTAGCCACTACCAAAAGTCATCACAAAAGGAGTCATTTTTAGCATGACTCATCACCAACCAACCTAGTAAAGTCTTGTTAATCTTAACCTACTCCTAACCAAAGTATGATCATAACAATTTCAATCACAAGGAAAACATAGGGTAAACTTGTGAAATAAAAACCACATACAAGCACAACATCAATGTCAACATAAATAACATAATCAACATTAATTTCAACACATGCAACTTCAACATGGTACTATTACTACTCATACAACTTACAACATAAAACAACTCAAGCAACTTCATCTCAACAACATGGTCATCATACAACAATATGTAACATATGCGTCATCACACATATCAATTAAGGAGATTTTCTACAACATGCACAAGTGAGCAATTTAAGTGGTTAGATACTACCAAACCATAGTGTTTCACCTATCACAACTAGGTCAGATATAAACAACTTCAGGCCCATGAGAGAACCTATTTAACAACTTAATTTGATTTCTCAGGTTTCATCATTCAAAGTAGGAAGTATATTACTATTGTCATGGTAGAACTATTAGTCTGTAACACTAAGCCTCTTATGATATTAGCCTATTGATTACCCTCCAAGTACTATGTCCTTTTAACACTCGATTAGGAACTAAGTTCCTAATCTTGTACTTTACTCAATTGACTATTTTATACACGTATGTCTCGACCTTGTGCACATATGGGTACCACATAAAACCTAGAGGAGAAAACTTAAAACAACTACTCATTTAAAAGCCAACTCACTTACTAAAGGATTTCAATTGGGCTCTCAGAACACCATAACGTATATCCACACAATAAAATATTCTAATTTCTAAAACATCTTTTACTCTCTTCTAATTTTTGTAAATCTTAGTAAAGACATGTATCTTCACCACATGCCTAACAACTTTAACAACATGAACAACTATAACATCACACAATTATACAACTTCATCATTTTAACAACTTACCACATAACAACATAAATATCATCACATACTATACATAAACTTATAACATATAGATTCATTGTCATACATCATCATCCATACAACTTATTCATCATCATTCAACTATAAAACAACAAGTTTTTCATCATGCAGCTCACGTCTAATGCCAACTTAGAGGATGTTTGATGCCATTGAGGTAGAGGTCTCCCTGTCTCACCCATGACTAATGCCAAATTGCCTACATCTTTTGTGGTTGAGGTAGAGAGCCTCCCACTCTCTTGAGTCTAGCGTGGCAAAAGTCCACACCTGACCTCTTACGTGCATGGATCTCAACTTAATTCATGTCCGACATCACTACAATGGCACCTAGTGAGATTTCAACTCAAGACAATTCTCTCTCATTATGCCTTACACCTTGAAGACATGTTCAACGCGATATCAGTTTTGCACCTATGTAGAACGCAATTTTGGCTCAATTCACTTTTAACTCAACAAATTTCCAACATGCGTTGCACAAAACAACATTTATACAACACGCACAACACAATTTCTCCATCAATAAAAACATGTATCTATCAAAATTAAGAATCACCACTTTTTATTCTTTCAAGCACAATCAAAATCCAAACCCCACACATGCATCATCTCAATTTTAGATTCTTAATCCAGAGCCAACCACTAAACACAAAATCAAACAACAATTCATCATCTTGCAGTACAACAAAATCAACACAAAGTTCCCTTACCTCTTGGAGAATCAAATCAACAAGAGGGGAAGAGAAAAATAAAGAGACGAGCTTTGAATCACCAACTTAGCAACTCTAATCAACTACAAAGAAGAAGAAGGGAGAATTTCTCAAAAAAGGAAGAAGAAGAAGATTCTAAGTTCCAAAGAGTCTCTCACTAACTTCTTTCTAGAATTCTTAAAACTTAAACTTATGAAGTTCTCATTTAAGAAAAATCATATATACTTTTCATGAGCTGACCTAATTACTTTAGAGACCAACTTAACTCTTGTACTTGTTTGAGGGCACACTAGTAATCTTCTCGTATTCTAAAGGTCGAACGAGAGCTCCGAATCATGATATAGGGGGGAGTTACCTGTAAAAGGCACTCCAATACTCAAGTTAGGACAAACACGAATATATATCAATAATAGCAATAAATGAACAGTAACCATACCTCATTTTGTGTGACTATTTATACTAACCATATTGGGCCCAGGTATGGTGGGCTTCATTCCATGATAACCAAATTAGGTAATGTGATGACTAATGACGAATTATCCTTTAACCTTCCTGTTGTCTTTACTAATCCTAATTAACATAAACTAACCATGTCGTTGTCTCAGCTCTGTCAGCCCTTGGCCAGGTCGAAAGGATATGGGTCGTTTGGTATACTTGAGTGTCTCGACCATGTCGGTGACCGAGACAATTGAGCTTTTGCACAAGGCAGGATTGGTGTCTCGGTTGTAGGTATGGCTGAGAGGACTTTGAGGGAATTACCAAGGTATTGTGATGCGCGTGTGTTCAGCTGTCTCGGTTGTCAACATGGTCGAGACAATGTGGTTAAACGGTTAAATGGATCATTCAGGCGAAATCGAAATGTATGTATCCGACTGTCTCGACTGTTGATGTGGCCGAGATAGTGGTCGAAAAGGTATGTGATGAAGCAACTAGGTAACCACATGTCGTTCCGGTACAACTCTCAAAGTCCCTTAACTCCAAAGTTTTTAACAATAATACTACAATAACTAACAACTAGACAGCAATAATCATATAATTGAATTAAAACATCATAAAATCAACTGTGTTACATGCTATACTCTGTTGCTACATAGCATTGCATCATGCGCTACAATTGCCTTATTAAGTCATGCTTTAATTGTTGTTGCGTTGCATTCCCTTGTGCCCTACCACTACGTTAAGTCCTACTCTGCCACTGGGTCGCATTTTGTTGTGCTTTGCCATTGTATCATGTTGTACTTCGTCGCTATGTCATGTTTTACTGTTCCATTGTTGTGTTGCGCTTCTTTGTTGGTTTGCGCCCTGCGGTTGAGTCTCCCTCCTCTCTAAGTTGTGATGTCTTTTGTCTTCCATGCTTAGCACTTTGTTGTTGCATTGCCTTCTGTCATCATGTTTCGTCGTTGTGTCAACCTCTGTCCGGCTCTATTGTGCTTGTCTTCCATCAATGTCACAATCAACCATCACTACAAAAAAAAAATGTGAGATTTGTGGCAGTTATATTGGCGGTTTCTGGCGGTTCAAAACTGCCACAAATGGCATTACCGGCGTCATTAATAATCGTCGGATCTACGGTCGCCAAAAGCCGTTTGTGGCGGATATTTTGTAAACGCTGGTCTTGGGCGCCAGAAAAATCAAGCTCATTGTGGCAGTTTAAAACTGCCACAAAATGAATTTTTATTTGACTTGTTTGACATTTTCTGGCGGTTTGAAACCGCCACAAAATTCAACTAAATTTTGCTTGATTCAACATTTCTGGCGGTTTTAAACACCCAGAAACTGTAAAACAAGTAACATTGAAATGCATTTTGTGGAAGAACATGGTGTCTATGTTATGCAAGGTCTAGTTTTTCTCAACAACACTCAGTCTATTATATATAATTGAAACAATTGCAAACTTTATAATAAAGTCAAGTCAGTGCTGAGTTTTTGAAAATGCAATGTTCCAAATGGCTAAAAAATAATAAAGCTAGTTCCAAAACAAAAAGAAAATTAGAGGACTCCATCATCAAACAATCTGCTTCATCCCATATTTTTTTTAAACTTACCATGATGATATGTAAATTACTGGCTGCTGGAGTGTCATGATTATGGGACAGATCATGCAAAAGTACTAAATTGTGCATATTACTTTTTGCACTGCAGTGCTTAACTGGGCATGTTGGTAGCTTGTAGGTATTGTCCCATAGATGTTATACTATTTTTTTTTATATAAATGAAATGTTTTTTTTTTTTCATTGAC